AGCAGTTCCCTTTCAACATCCTTCCCAGAAGTCCTGCTCAACAGTTATGCTCGCTTCTCATTGGCTGGGACTATCTTTGGCTGCAAGGGAAGTAGAGAAATATGCAGGCTAAATATTAGCATTTGATAACCTCAAGGAGGAAAGGAAAACTTGTGGTGGGGAAGGCCAAGAACAGCTTCTGCCACAAGGATTTCAACCTACCTCTTAGGCCACCACAGATCTATTGGTCACCTAGTGTATGCCAGGCACAGGGCTGGGCTGTGCCACACAGAGATAATCAAGACATGGTCCCTACTCTCAAGGAGCCAGCAATCAAGGGCGATGGCGGACCACAGGTAAAGTGGCTCTCATAGTTATGGGTTTGTTTGGGAGACAGAGTGTTTTTTGTTTGTTTGTTTTGGTGTTGGTTTACATAGCCATCTTTGAAACCTGGGAGAATTCACACATGCTCTGGAATTTTGGAGTCTCTTCTAACATTTGAAGCTCTGGCAACACAAGGCCTGCATTCTTTCATCATGGCAGCAGTTGACTGGAGAAGTGGCTGCCCTTTCTAGGAAGGCCCCTCTCCTGTTGACCACAGTCCCCACCCAACTCTGTTGCCTCACACCACTGAGGATACCTATGTGGCCATGGTGGGGACACGGGTGGGTGGCTGGACAGTGAGCTGCGAAAACCACCCTTGCAGATGAGAACTCACTGGAATTTGTGCCTCTCAGGGAGGAAAATGGCTCTGGAAATAAAAAAGCAAACCAAATCCACTCACCTTCCCAAAGTCCCATGTTCTTCTCTAACAGAGAGGGAAGATGTGAAAAAAATCCTTTTTCACCTTCTCTTTTCTTTGAGAAGGCATCTCCGGCATGTGGAGACAGGGAGGGCTGACAAGAGGCATTTCCCTCTTCCTAACAGGTGACCCCTGTGTCAGGCCAAAGGCAGCCCTAACTCGCTGAAGGGGGAGCAGCTGTCGGGAGCTCCTCTGAATTCAGCAGGGACCCCGGCTCCCCACTCAGCTCACCTTGGAGCAGAGGCCCCTCATTAGTGCTCGGCGCCTTCTTCGCAGGCTGCCCCCTGGAAACCTTTCTCCCAGGCCCAGGGCTGGTGGATCTTGCTGGAACCACCCTCTGTCTCGCTTCAGCGCGTCCGCCTGGCAGCCCCAGAGCCCGTGCAAGCCACGGGGAGCTGCGGCCCATTCTGGGTGGCCTCCCCTCTTGCCCAGCCCAAGGGCGTCTTGCAGCTATAAATTGAGTAAATTGAAAATGTTACTGAGGGTTGGAGATAAAAGAGAGAGCTGGGTATCTCCATGAATAAAACATGGGAGGGAGGCCATTTCTTGGAAAAATAGAGAGAATAAATTGCGGTGGATCAATTTTATCTAATTTCTTGGCCGAGCTTCTGACATGCAAATGAATGTGCTCATAATTTATGAGTGGGCTATGGAGATTACCAGAGGGAAGGGATGCCTGGAGTTCTGCTGCAGGAGCGGGGAGGGGGGCACATGGCCGAGGATTTAGCAAAAGTCCATTAGGCATTTTTTCCTTAAAACCTAAAGATTTAGAAATCCTCCCAGGGAAGGTAAAAGCCAGGCAGAGGAAATGCTAGATTCCTGGGCCTGTCTTTGGGGCCAGTTCCTCTGATCACCTCTGTTCTGTCCTAACCCCACTGCTGGCCAGTCCTGATCACAGCAGATGTGGTTGTTAGGCCACCAGGCCTTTGCTCAGTGGGTCTCCACCTCCCTACACCAGTTTTGCCTTCTGGATTCACCCCTGACCTTTGGTTTCCAGCCTGAGACTTGCCTGATAGGTCCCATCTGAACTCAAGCTTCCTTCTGAACGCCAAAACCCTCTGGAGGAAAGATGCACCTGTCTCTTTTCCTTAGAGATGGCACATTGGCCCAATCCTGCCTACTGCCATGTTTTCTGTGGCCTGAGCAATGGCCACAAAAAGTCTGAAATGGTTGCCAACATTGAAAAAATTCATAGATGCTTCACACATTTTAAGATGTTTGGCTTCTACCGAAAGATCAGGACATCTGGTTACACAGGCTTTTGTTTTCAGTGGCAACAATGGTCTAGAATCAAGGTAGCCCCTGGCCTTTTGAGGCAGAGGCTGCAGGCCCCAATTTGCTTCAGACCTTACCCCTTCCTATTGCGTCTCTGCCCTGAAGTCAAATGGCAGTTGCTATTGATGACTGGATTTGCACTGTTGTTTTTCTTACAGTGAAGTTAGTGGGAAAGTGAACTATCTCCTTTCCTCATAACTCTAAAAACACGGGAGAGTTACAGGGACAGAGAGAGAGTAAGTTTCAAGAGGGAGAGGGTACACTTTGTGGGGTTTTTGGTGGGAGTGATGGATGACATTTATGGTAGGTATGGTGGGATCTCACTGTGTTGTCCAGGCTGGTCTTGAACTCCTGTCCTCAAGCAATCCTCTTGCCTCAGCTTCCAGAGTAGCTGGGAACACAGGTGGGAGCCACCATGCCCAGCTCATCCCTTTTTTTAATAATTATTGAGCACCGACTATGTGTAGACTATGAGGGTATAGTGGCATAAAATTAGATCTCTGCCCTCAGGGAGCTTAGTTTCCAGGGGTGAAAGAGAGAGAATACACACAAAAGCAAATAAATAAGCAAGGATGATTCCAGAGGGACATGAGTGCTATGAAGACCGGGTCCCATGTGACCAAGGAGGCTACTTGGAAGAGGTGACCAAGCCCCTGGTGATAAGAGGGAAGCAGGACTGTGAAGATCTGGGGGAGAAACAGCAGTGCAGAGGCCCAGAAGCAGGGTTGCTGAGTTTCTGGCAAAGCTCTGCAGGGGTTTGAGCTCAGAGCCCCTGCTTCTCGGTGGTGATGGGGAAGGAGTGTACCAGGCTGCATGGTCACTGAGCTCCCAGCAAGGCCCTGCACAGGCTTGAGTTTGTAGCCTCCGTCTTGTCATTCCAATTCTCTGTTCCTAGCACAGGTGACTCACGGCTGGAGGAGCTTGAAGAAGGAGTGAAAGTGGCCCAGGGCAGTCTCTGGGGGCTGCTCAAATTCTCTGGGTGGGGAGTACTCTTAGTGAGAGCCTGTTATGGACAGAGTATGTCTCCATTAAATTCCCGTGTTGAAGAGTAACCCTCAATGTGATGGTATTTGGAGGTGAGATCTTTGGATGGTGATTAGGGTTAGATGAGGTCATGGAGTGGGGCCTTCATGATGGGATTAGTGCCCTTCATGGGAAAATGAGGAGACACCAGCTTCCTCTGTCCACTGTATGAGGACACAGTGAGAAGGTGGCCATCTGCCAACAAGGAAGAGAGCCCTCACCAGAACCTGACCATACACCCTGATCTCAGACTTGCCAGCCTCCAGAACTGTGAAAAATTGATACCTGTTTAAGTAGCCTTCCAGTCTAGAGTGTTTTGTTATAGCAGTCTTAGCTGATAAAGATGGAACCCATGAGACAGGCTCCACTCTCACTCTATATATCAGGACACTGAGGCACAGAGGGTTTGGTAGGTTGTGCAACACAGGTGATTAACTGGAAGAGACCAGCTTTGAACCCATGTCTAGCTGGCTCCAATGCCCAGCCTCACTAGTGCCCTTTGGCCCTTTCCAGTTGTTCCTTTCTTGATCTCCTAGGATGACAAGTTTTGTAGTCAAAATAACTTACTGACCACTCCCTGTCTAAAACCTTGGATGGGCCAGGTGCAGTGGCTCACATCTGTAATCCCAGCACTTTGAGAGGTAGAAGCAGGAGGATTGCTTGAGGCCAGGAGTTTGAGACCAGCCTGGGCAAGATAGCGAGACCCTGTCTCTACAAAAAATTAAAAAAATTATCCCAGCACTTTGGGAGGCTGAGGCAGGTGGAACACGAGGTCAGAAGATCAAGACTATCCTGGCCAACATGGTGAAACCCAGTCTCTACTAAAAATACAAAAATTATCTGGGCATGGTGGCGTGCACCTGTAGTCCCAGCTACTTGGGAGGCTGAGGCAGGAGAATCAATTGAACCTGGGAGGTGGAGTTGCAGTGAGTCAAGAGATTGTGCCACTGCACTCCAGCCTGGTGACAGAGTGAGACTCCGTCTCAAAAAAAAAAAAAAAAATTAAAAAATTAGCCTGGCATCATGGCACGCACCTGTAGTCCCAGCCACTCCAGAGGCTGAGGCAGGAGGACCACTTGAGCTCAGGAGTTCAAGGCTGCAGTGAGCTATGATTACGCCACTGATCTCCAGCTTGGATGATGGAGTGAGACCAAATCTCAAAACAAACAAACAAACAAACAAAAACAAACAAAAAAACCCCCAAAACTTGTACAAGCTGCATACAAGGCACCACATGATCTGATATTCTCTCCTTTCCCACATAATGCTCCTTTCTGTCCCTCAACCTCCTCCAAGAAGCAGGGCCTCTGAGCTCAGTCTCCTGCAGAGCTTTGCCAGAAGCTCAGCCACACTGCCTCTGGGCTTCTGTGCTGCTGTTTCTCCCCCAGATCTTCATGGTCCTGCTTTCCTCTTATCACCAGGGGCTTGGTCACATGTGACCCGGTCTTCACAGCCTCATGTTCCTCTGGAATCATCTTGTTTATTTATTGCTTTTGTGTGTGTTCTCTCTCTTTCATCCCTGGGAACTAAGCTCCCTGAGGGCAGAGATCTAATTTTATGCCACTATACCCTCATAGTTTGCACATAGTAGGTGTTCAATAATTATTAAAAGAAGGGATGAGCTGGGCATGGTGGTTCCCGCCTGTGTTCCCAGCTACTCTGGAAGCTGAGGCAGGAGGATTGCTTGAGACCAGGAGTTCAAGACAAGCTTGGGCAATGTAATGAGATTCCATCTGTATAAAACATATTTTAATGAGCCGGGCACAATGGCACATGCCTGTAGTCCCAATTACTTGGGAGGCTGAGGTGGGAGGATCACTTGTGCCCAGGAGTTCAACATCAGTCTGAATAATAGAACAAGAATAAAATAAAATAAAATAAAATAAAATAAAATAAAATAAAATACATGATGAATGAAAAATGGCATATCCGGGTATCTGATCCTTAGGAACTCACAGAGGAGGGGTGATGAGAAGGAGGTTCTATGATAGTGAGGTGAGGCAGAAGGGGAAGGGGTGCTGGCACAGCTGCCCTCTGGAGTCCCAGGTCGGAGGAAGTCTCACGGCTCACCCTGAAGGGAATCCATATGTACAATGATTTGCAAGGCCACCAGTACAGGGAGGAGAGGCTGCGTGCTGGCAAGAGGGTGTCATTGGCTGAGTGGGCTCAGGGTAGGGCCTGCGGTGTGTGTTTCATCACTCCCAGAGCATCTTCGTGGTAGCAGTGAGAATCAAGGTGTCCTGGAATGTTGCAGCTGAGAGTGAAACTGATGCTCAGAGAAGGGACACCTTGCCCAGGTCACAGCAAGTCCACGTGGACACAGGAGTCTTCTCGGGTTTAGAGCCTGCACCTTGGGGCCTTTGAGAGTCCAGAGAGATGTAGGCACTGTCATTTCTGAGTCTCTAGATAGATGAAAACAAACAGACAAATGCCCAAACAGGGTTTCAGAAATTGGGGTAAATTTTAAATATTTGCATTGAACAAACTAACATTTTAATACATTAAAACATTATCAGGCAATGTCATCATGTTCTTCAGAAGTTAATCATAATTTTTAGGAAAAATGATCAACTCATATGTCCTGCAGGGGTGATCTGGGAGCAAATGGATGTTGCTGTAAGATAAACATTGTCTTTTTTTTTGAGATGGAGTCTCGCTCTGTAGCTTAGGCTGGGGTGCAGTGGTGCAGTCTTGGCTCACTGCAACCTCCGCCTCCCAGTTCAAGCAATTCTCCTGCTTCGGTCTCCCGAGCAGCTGGGACTACAAGTGCACGCCACCACACCCAGCTAATTTTTGTATTTTTAGTAGAGACGGAGTTTCATCATGTTGGTCAGGATGGTCTTGATCTCCTGACCTCGTGATCCACTGGCCTCGGCCTCCCGAAGTGCTGGGATTACAGGCGTGAGCCACAGCGCCCGGCCAAACATTGTCTTTTCTATTCATTCATGAAGTGGGTCCCTATGACTATATGTGGCAGTCCAGTGGGAGACTCTTCAAAGCCTGAAGTTGTGGCAAAGTCCATTTTTCCTTGAAACAGGCCAGGGTTAGATGGTCCAGGGTTTGGGTCCCACTTGGGGAGCGTTTATGAACTAAGTTTTCTGATCTAGAAATGGGCACACTTTGTATTTCACAGAGCTGATTTCAGGATGGATGGGTGTGAAATGCTTTGCACTGACTAAATACTGGCTGCCAGGTTCACCTGCAGAGCTGGAGTCCAACCCCAAAGCTCCTGCTCTTTGTATACCACTCCTCTGCCCCCATAAGCTCATCTCTTGGAAAGGTTTCAGAACTCTTTACTGAGAGACCTGTCCCTTGAAAGCAGAAATGGGATTTTTTCTCCCAAATCCGTTCCTTGGGGGAAGTCTTCAAAGCGAATTCTTGTAATTTCCCATTATAAAATTTTATGTGCAATTACAAACAATGAACTGTGAGCATTAATTGGGCAGACTGGGAGATTTTCTGTTTTTAAATCACAGTCTATTTTAAATCCTTCCAGACCACAAGAAAATGACCTGAGAAAATGAGTTGCTCAAGGGCATCCCAGGCAGCCAGTTCTCCTTGCTGCATCTTGGATTCTCCAGGGAAGGTGGCCACTGTGCACAGAAGAGCAATGGGGCAATAGGCTTCCCAGTTCTCTCAGCACACATGTGTGTTTGTGTGTTTAAATAACGGCTTTCTACGAAGTCATTCAGCCTGATCAGCACATAGTAGATCTGCATCCATCTATTCATTTAACCATCCACCTATCTAACCATCATCCATCCATCCATCCATCCATCCACCCAACCACCCAACCACCCATCCATCTATCCCTATCCATTCAACCATACATCCATCTGTCTATTCACTCATTCAACAATCCATCCATCCATTCACCCATCTAACCCTGCATCCATCCATGCCTCTACCCATTCATTCATCCATCAACCACCCATCCACCCTTCCAACTATTCACCCATCCTACCATCTATCCATCCATCCATCCATCCATCCATCCATCCATCCATCCATCCATCAATTCATTCAGTCACCAAACCATCTATCCACCAATCATCCATCCACCCACCCATTCATCCATCCACCCATCCAACTATCCATCCATCCAACCATCGATGCATCCAACCATCCATCCATTCACCCAACCAAGCAATATTTGTTGAGTACCTACTATGTGCCAAGCACTGGGCATACAGAAATGAACAAACAAAAATCCCTTCCCTTCTAGAGCCAACATTTAAACAATAGAGACAAAGACAGTAAAGACAATACATAAGAACATTATACATTATATTAGAAAGCATTAAGTGCTTTGGAGAGAAACTAATCGGGATGGAGAAGGATAAAGTAGAGGGGAGCTGCAGGTTAAACAGTGTGGCCCAAGCAGCCCTCCCTGAGAATGTGACATGTGAGCAAAGATTTGAAGGAGGCCAGGAAGCAAGCCAGGAGGAACCTGGAGTGGGAGTGTTCCAGGCAGAGGGAAAGAGCAAATGCAAGGGCTCTGTGGGAGGCAGACGGGAAGAGGGCAGCATGGGAGCTGGTTCACCCTTGTCAGGACTTTGACTGTTACTCTGAGAAAAATGGGGAGACTTTGCAGGTTCCAAGCAGAGAAGTGACATGCACTGATACACTTTTTTTTTTTTTTTTTTGAGACAGGGTCTCGCTCTGTCTCCCAGGCTGGAGTGCAGTGGTGTGATCTCAGCTCACCGCAGCCTTGATCTCCTGGGCTCAAGCATTCCTCCTGCCCCAGCCTCCGGAGCAGCTAAGACCATAGGCACATGCCACCACACCCAGCTAACTTTTGTATTTTTTGTAGAGACAGGGTTTTGCCATGTTGCCAGGCTGGTCTGAAACTCCTGAATTCAAGCGATCAGCCAGCCTCAGCCTCCCACAAGTGCTGGGCTTACAGGCACGAGCCACCGTGCCTGACTGGTCCACTTTTTAAAAGAACTGCTCTGGCTGCTGTGATGGGAATAGGGCTACTCTTGTTCGTTGTCAAAACCACTGGCCATGTGTGGCTGTTGAGTGCTTAAAATGTGGCTTGTCTGAATACAGCTGCACTGTATGTATACATATGGTCTGGGTGTTGAAGACTTACCACGAAAAAAAGGAAAACTAATTAGCAATGTAAAAACATTGATTATACATTGAAATGATAATCTTGTGGATATATTTGGTTAAAAATACATTATTAAAATTAATTTTATCTATTTCTTTTTACTTTTTTGGGTGTGGCTACTAGAAAATTTCTTACGTGGCTTATATTATGTTTCTAGTTGACGGCACTGCTGTAGACAGGACAGGCCAAGGGCAGAAGCTAAAGACAGTTAGGAGGCCGTGGTCAGAAAGCTGAAGAGGATGGCAGCTGTGCCAGGTGCCAGACATGGTTGAATTCTAGGAGTGTTGGAAGCTGTTTGTGATGGGCGTGGGGCATTCATAGATGTGTGTGGATTGGGTACTTGGGGCAGGTGCTATCTGTTGAGCTGGGATGGCGAGGTGTGTGGACTGAGAGATGAGGGGCAGAGTCGGAGGCCTCTGACACCCTCTGCCTGTGACCCAGGGAGGCTGCAGGGAAGCTGAGTGTCACTAAGGTGCAGTGTAAGCTGAGGTCTCGGATGACAGGTGATTGAGTGAATTCAGGGCCTTTACTTCCTCATCTGTAAAATAGAGGCAGTAGGACCCAAGCTCTCAGAGCTGTGAAAACTAAATCAGTGAGGATATGAAAGGCCTGGCAAAGGCGAAGTGTGTAGTTGATGAAGCCACTGCCATTATTCCAGGTACAGGGACCATGGGCAGGAGGAACAGGGGTTGGGGAGTGCCTGTCCTCCTTTGTTCTACTTCTTCAAGAAGTCCCACAAGCTGGGTACAGTGGCTCATGTCTGTGACCCCAGCACTTTGGGAAGCCAAAGCAGGAGGATCACTTGAGGCCAGGAGTTCCAGACCAGCCTGGGCAACGTGGCAAGATCTCATGTCTACAAAAAATTTTTAAATTAGCCAGGTGCAGTGGCACAAGCTCGCAGTCCCAGCTACCCAGGAGGCTAAGGCAAGAGGATTGCTTGAGTCTGGGAATTTGAGGCTGCAGTGAGCCATGATCACGCCTTTGTACTCCAGTCTGGGCAACAGAGCCAGACCCCATCTCTAAAAAAACAACAAACAAAAAGAAGGCCCACAATACTACTCTACTTGTTTTATTATCAGTGCTCAAATAAGTTGGCTGGCCTGCTGAAGAGGAAGGGGCCTCCCATTCTCTTCCCAGGGCACTGCCAAGATTGCAGATGGAGGCCTGGTGGCCGTGGAGGAAGCAGGATGGGGGCACAGTCCCTGTACCCTGCAGCCTCCTCACCAGTTTGGAGGCGGAGGGGACATAAGCTAGGGGATGAAAGGACACCTGGAGGCGGGATACGGGGGGAACCCTGTGGTCTAACGGGAGGAGGACGCTCCTGCAGGTGGTGCAGAAGCTGGGAGTGAAAGCTGTCTGGGATGTGAGGCTCTGCCCTTTTGGTCTTTGCTGGCAGGGTGGGGCAGAGGCAGTTTCCGTCTTCTTTCACCACCAATCCCCTTCCTACCCAGTCTAATGCGGAGCCTTGCATACAGTAGGTCCTGAATAAATATCCATCGCATTGAATGAGCAAGGTACTATTGGGATGCACTAGGGTAATATCTGTTTAAGGTACAGCAGGAAGAGCGCTGGGAAGAAGTACTGATCCCGCCTCCTGTTGCCTGAGTCATGCGTAACCTACATCTGCCCACCCAGGGCCTTCTAGACCCGGCCTCCTCCAACACCTCTCACCCCTCACCTGGACACCCACAGCAGCCTCCTCCCTGGGTCCCTTCCTTCCACTCTTGCCCCCTCAACCCCTTCACACAAACAGCCAGTCGGAAGGTTTTATATATATATATATATATGTGTGTGTGTGTGTGTGTGTGTGTGTGTGTGTATATAAATATATAAATAAAATAACCTTGTCATATATATATATATATGAGATGAGGTCTTGCTCTGTCATCCAGGCTGGAGTGCAGTGATGTGACCGTGGCTCGCTACAGTTTTGACTTCCTGGGCTCAAGCGATCCTCCCACCTCAACCTCCCAAGTAGCTGGGACTAGAGGTGCACGTTACTGCACCTGGCTAATTTTTTTTTTTTTGGTAGAGATGCAGTCTTGCTATGTTGCTCAGGCTGATCACAAATTCCTGGCTTCAAGTTATCCTCCCACTTCAGCATCTCAGTCACCTAAAGTCCTGGGTTTACAGGGGTGAGCTACCACGCCTGGCCAACAATGGGATGTTTTGAAGATGTAAGTCAGATTATGCTGCATCCCTGGTTAAAAGTGTCTACAGGCTTCCTTTTCAACCAGAATAAAAAATGCCATAAGGCCCTGCGCGATCTGGCCCCAGGTCTCTGGCCAACTTCAGGCTTTAATGCTCTTGTTTTCTATGCCTTGTTTTCCTAGATCTTCTCAAGCCAGTCCCTGCCACAGGGCCTTTCCACTGGCTGTCCTTCTGCCTTGAGGGCTGCTTCCTCCCAACATTACCTGGGTTATGTCTCATTATTCCTGTCTCAGTGCAAGTGTCTCATCCTCGGAGAAGACATCCTTGAGCCCCAGCATCTAAGAAACTCTCAATTACTTCCTATTAAATATCAGTTGGCTGTAGATCACCATCTACAACCTTCTTCTCCATGAATTTGGTTACCTATGTCCTGCTTCTCCCCCAGAGTGCAAGCTTTCTGAAGCTTCATCCATCTTGGTCCACTTCTCACTTCAGCTCAGGACCTGGAACATAGTAGGTACTCAATAAATGTCCATCAAGTAAATGAAGGCCCTTATTCATGCTGATCTCGAGCACTCTGTACGCATCATTTTATTTAGTCCTTGTAAGGCTCCTCTGTCATCACCCTTCTGGAGACAAGTGACCCGCCGTTGTTAGGACTGAAACTGAGTATGTCTGACCCTAAAGCTCGAGTTGTTGAACACTGTGTGATGCTATCCCACTGACCTGGGGTCTGGCCCTGGGATCTGGGTCATGTCCCATTCCCTCTTGGAGCTGTACTCTGCCCCTCTGATGTGGAGGGTGCTGGTTGAGTGCTTCTGAAGTCTGCAGCTCTAACCATCAAGGGTGTGGTTCTCCATAGCGGTATAAGTGCCTTCTCCGGAGGTTTAGGTCTGGGATATTCCCATGGGGACACTGACATCCTGAACTACTGTACTTGTTTCATTATAAACACATATGCATGTATTATACTTTATCTTCTTAATTCATGTTAGGGCCAGTCTATGAATTTCATGTTAGGGTAGTAGAAGGGGTGTTATACAAATGTGTTATCAAAGGGGGCATCCTGTCCTCTAGGGTGATGGAAGCTGGAGGAGGGTCACCTGGGGGTGGGGGCACACACTAGGAGCAGCAGGAGGGGCCTGCTGGAAGCTGATGGAGTCCTACATCTCCACCCAGGAGGTGGTCCCATGGGTGTGCATGTGCATAAAAATTCTGTGAGCTGCACCCCAAAGATGGGTCACTGGACTATTTGTAATGCCAGTTTTTAAACCTTAAATAAAATAATATTAATGTATGTAAAATATATAAACAAAAATGTGGGCCTTGGGATGGGAACCACTGGGCCAAAGGTCTCTGCCTGCAGCCTGGGGTCCTCCCTCACCCCTCATCTAGTGAGGTTCTCTTCAATCTCTCAAACTCAGCTCCAGTATCAACTCCACCCTGACCCCATCCCTTGAAGTTTTTCGGTGGAGCCCCCGAGCCCCACCCCATGCTCCCTTCCTAGCCTTTCTCACCTGGTGACCTGGTGACTTGCCAGTGGCCTCCTTGGTGAGTCCCAGCTGGTGAAAGTGGCTCCCACTTTGGCACCTGGGACACAAGCTGGTTGCAGTGGTGTCTGTTGAATGAATAAGCGCCCACTGTGTGGGAGAGGAAGAGAGAGGGTGGCTGCTCCTCCTTTCCCCAGCCTCCACACTGTCTTCTCTAGCTGCGGAGAATATGCACATTTAGGTTCTGTAAGCCCAGAGGGGGGAGAGGAGGAAGGCCTGGCCCCCTGCACACTCTTTGCAGGGCAAAGCTTGCCTTGGAGGATGTGCTAGTGGCTACATTAGTAGCAGCTACCGCGGGACTCAAGGCTCACTAGTTGTCCCGTGTAATCCCACCCTTGAAATGAGTACCCAGATGCCACCCTCGTTAAAGATGTGGACCTGCAGGCTCCGAGAGCTCCGGTCCCTTCCAGAGGCCACACAGCAGAAGGAGCAGGGTGGCAGCCGTACTCCAACTCCAACTCCCCACCCTTCCATTCCCTGCTCAGTCTTGCTCAAGTAAAAAGGCAAAGAAGGAGGGAAGACAGCACCTTCCAGTTTTCTGACACTTCCTTACCTCCAAACACTGGATCCTCAAGTGTCTGGTCTTTAAAGCAGACTTCCTTATCACCCAAGATACAGATATGGCCTGACCTTTGGATACCACGTTTGTAGAACATACCTTCATGAAAGCAGAAGGGGCGGCAGCCGGACCTAAGGAAGCACTTCCTGACTGTAGATGATAAAATACTGTCTTGGGAGGGTTGGATACGGTGGACCTCCACCCGGTGGGCTCTCTCAGGCCTAGGGTCTAATTCTCCTTGAGCTCTCGGCTCTTGAGACCCTCCTCGGAAAGAGTGAGGCCAGCCAGGCATGAGGCCTCAGGGGACCCATGTTTCTGTCCTCCTTGGAGAAGCAGGGACCCAGGGGCCCAGAGGCCCAGAGGGCACCTGGGGGAGAGTGCTGGCAAACTTTTCCCAGCAACTTCCCAGTGACTTGAGGCTTCCTTTGACAACACAGCCTGCTGCCTCCCTGGGCTCAGCCCCCGTGGGTGCGGGGCCCTGGGGACGGGCCTCTGCGTGATTGGAGCTGGACAACTCCCAGGCAAACCTCCCCTCCCTCCGAGTTCCTTCCTAGGAGGGCCCTGACCCCGGAGTCTCACTTTCCAGTCCCTTCCCTCAGGGACGTGTCCCCTCTCGGGCTGGGGCTCGGCTCAGGTTGCTGAGCAGAGGCCACCAAAGACCCAAGGGACCAGGAGGAGCTGGAGAGAGCCCCGAGGACTCAGTGCTCCCAGGACCCGTTGCCAGGGCCACCACTTGGAGACTGGAGCTGCATCCCAGAGGTTCCAGAGGGTGGGCCTCCTTGGGGGCCACGAGAAGCCTTGGTAAAAAAAAAAAATGCAATATTCAAGTGGTTAACGATGACACAAGGATCTGCAAGCAGCAGCTTACAGGGGCCTCCTCGACACACGTTTGCTTCTTAGGATTCCCAGTGGAAAGAGGGAGCCCACGCTCCCCGGGGACACAGGTGCCAAGAAGCAGCTCCTGTTGTCTATTTCATTCACCTTCTCTTGCTGGTTGCCCCCAGTGGAATTTACTCATTCATTCATTCAGCATATATCTACTGGGCACCCACTCCGTGCCAGGTGCTGAAGCTACAGCACTGAGCAAGATGGACAGAGGCCCTGATCTCAAGGAGCTGACAAGCAATGAACAGAGAAATCAGAAACAAACGCAGTGGCTTCTAATTGTGATAGAGGCTGTGCTGGCAGGAATCAGAACGACGTGATGGAAAGCGAGGGGTAGGAGAACATTAAACCAGGCCATCAGGAATGGCCTGTGTGAGGAAGAGACATTTCCTCTGAGGCTTGATGGATACACTGAGGTCCTATAAGGGAAAAGGCCCTAAGGCAGATTCCAGGAACAGTGAGATGGCCCGAGTGCCAGGCGTGGCAGTCAGGGGGCATCTGAAAGGTGCGATCAGCAGGGGCCCGTCGGGCTGGGCTGGCAGTGAGTGTGTGTTGGATTTTACTCTGATAGTCAGGGAAGCCCCTGGAAAGTTTTAGCTGGGATTGATGTGATCAGCTCTGCATTTGGAGGGCACTGTCCTAGAGGCCATGAAGGGAGCAGGTTGGAGGGCCAGTAAGGGCGTACAGAGGATGGATCAGAGGGACTCCTTAAGAGCCCTGAGGCCTCTTAGGTGGGTGACACACAGTGCTGGCTTCCACTTCAGACTTCGAGGTAACAAAAGAGTGGCCTATGGAGGCATTTGCAACTATAGGGGTTACCCTGGTATTTTTTTGTTTTTGTTTTAGATACAGAGTCTTGCTCTGTTGCCAAGGCTGGAGTTCAGTGGCACAATCATAGCTCACTGTAGCTTCGAATTCCTTGGCGCAAGCAATCCTTCTGCCTCAGCCTTCTGGGTAACTGGGATTCCATGTGCCACCACCATGTCCAGTTAATTTTTAATTTTTTTGTAGAGATGGAATCTTGCTATGTTGCACAGGCTGGTCTTGAACTCCTAGCCTTAAGTGATCCTCTCCCACCTCAGCTTCCCAAACTGCTAGGATGATAGGCGTAAACCACTGTGCCTGATCTTACCCTGTGTTTTAATTAACCATCTGTGGCTGCTGTATGGTTAGAAGAGGGTTTCAGGCTATTGTTTTAAAATGTATAGAAGGGCTGGGCATGATGGCTTACACCTATAATCCCAGCAGGTGTGAGAGTCTGAGGCAGGAGGATCGCTTTAGCACAGGAGTTCAAGGTTACTGTGAGCTATGATCAAACCACTGCATTTCAGCCTGACTGACAGAGTGACACCCTGTCTCTACAAATGCACACACACACACACACACACAAAGATTCTGCTTTTGTGGAGCAAGAAGGGACCTGAGTTCAACAGTGGCCGGAGAAGGCCAGGGCAGACCAGGCAGCTGGTCAGTGGGCACCATGACCAGCCCACCCCCAGGGCAAAGCCCAGTGAAGGAGGCATGGGAGGCTGATTTCACCTCTGCCCCTTGGAATGAAAAGGGAGTACTTAGCTGGGGCCAGTGCAGAGGGCAAACGGAAGCTTGCTGCCCAGCTCACGTTTCTTTCTGGTAATAATCCTCTCTGCAGGATTCACTTGGGGACCAGCTCGTTTCAGGCTCTGCAGTCACCAGGATGGTCCCATCTCTGATCATCAGTGGGCAAAAGATACCTGCTTGTGAGTTCTATAGAGGAAATCTCAAGTTAGGTCTGGAGAAAGGCAGAGAAATAGCAGGAAAAAGTAGAGGGGCCTGCCAAGCTTTTGCTCTTCCGAAGGTTCTGGAAAATAGAGATGGAATAACTATCTTTCTGGAATAGCACGCAGAAAGAGTCCCTTATAGTTGCTTAAAATTCTAACTGCAGGCTTCCCTGTTCACAAGTCTGGATGGTGCTCCCAGGGAGTGTGGAGAAGTCAGCCAGCCCTGGAAGCTCTGGCTGGAGAAATCTGAGGGTCACTGAGTGAACTCAGGGTGGCATGGGGCGAAGACTGGGTGCTGAGTGAGCACTCCTGTGTTTAGATCTACAGTCTGACCCTGGGAGCTGCTCCATCAGAAGCCATCTCAGAGACAAGGACATGAATCCAAGTGTTTGTTTTGAGGGGATCTCAGAGAGCACCAGAGGGGAGACAGGAAAGAGCAGGGCAGGAAGGAAGCCAGTAAAGGGTCTGTTTCTCAGCAGGTCTGTTTCTGAGCAGCTCTGGGAGTCAGCACTTGGCTGCATCCAGATGGATGGGGGAGCTGGGGCATTTATATGCCAGCCCTTGCCACCATTGGCTGAGGGCTGCATGGGGGCATATGGGTGCGGCATCCACTGTATCTGCTGCAGCGAGTTATGTAGCCCAAGCCTCCACCACTTCATCTATAAAATGGGGAAATAAAAGCAACCTTGCTTTAAAAAAATAAGTAAGAAGCCTGTCTCCTCAGGTGACTGAGACTGAATGAGAATACCTGTAAGACTCATGCTTCAGGGTGGGGCACAGGGCACGTCTCTTTCCTTTGTTTGATAGATACTTACTGTGGGTCTCACAGCGCCAGGCCCTGGGATTCCACAGGGAACACAAGCGACCTATAGCTTATCCCCGTGAAGCTGGACTCATGAGCAATCCTCGAGTCAGTGACAGCAAGTGTGACGAACCCACAGAGGGGCAAGGCAGGGTAGGGAGGCGCCCCAAAGCAGGCAGCAACTCCCCTTAGGGAGGCACCGTGTGAGACGCCCCCACCCCAGTGTCTCCCAGAACAGTAACATAGCCTGTTTCTTTTTTCTTTTTCTTTTCTCTTCCTTCCTTCCTCCTTTCCTTCCCTTTTCCCTTCCTTCCTTCCTTCCTTCCTTCCTTCTTTCCTTCCTTCCTTCCTTCTTTTTCCTTCTTTCCTTCCTTCCTTCTCTCTTCCTCTCTTCCTCTCTTTCTCTCTCTCTTTCTTTCTTTCTTTCGAGTCTCACTCTGTGGCCCAGGCTGGAATGAGTGGCGTGATCATGGCTCATTGCAACCTTGACCTCCTGTGCTCAACTGATCCTCCTGCCTCAGCCTCCGGAGCAGCTAGGACTACAGGGGTGTGCCACCACACCAGCTAATTTTTTATTGTTATTTATTTATTGATAATTTTTATTTTTTAGAGGTGGGATCTCACTATGTTGACCAGGCTGGTCTCAAACTCCTGGGACATGGCCAGTTTCCATGGATAAGGACTGGGTGACATTTTGGTTTGTGTTCAGGGGTCAAGTGGTAGGGAAAATATACACTAAAAACACTAGAGTGGTCCCCAGTGCAGGGAGGTGGTTGCATTGTGAGAGAAACCAGTACCCTGAGGCCAATCGAGGGAGGAGGGGCTGTGCTTCTATTTCACACTCACTCACTGACAGAGTAGTGGGCAGAGCAGCCCGCCTGTTAAGATGAGACTAGCCTGGCCAACATGGTGAAACCCTGTCTCTACTAAAAATACAAAAATTAGTCAGGCATGATAGCAGGTGCCTGTAATCCTAGCTACTTGGGAGGTTGAGGCACGAGAATCTCTTGAATCTGGGAGGTGGAGGTTGCAGTGAGCCAAGATCCCACTACTGCACTCCAGCCTGGGTGACAGAGCGAGACTCTTTCTCAAACAAATACATACATACATACATACATACATACATACATACATACATAAAGTTGACCCTTTTCCTCTCTTTCTTCCCCCACCTCACATCCTGAGAGGTGGTCCCATACCTGAAATGAGTTCGGATGGAATTTCACTATTGTCACCAACACTGTGGGCCCCTGCTGTAGCCCCGCAGCACTCCCCAGGCGGGGGTGCCCATCTGATAGCTTTTGCTGCCAGCCCATGAGTTTCTCTGGCCCCTGTGCAGGAGGCAGGTCAGGGTGGTGGGGAGTGGGAGCTCCCCCAGAGCAGCTCTCAGCCAGCTCCGAGCAGCTCAAGCACCCTACTGTGTCTCCCAGGATGCCCCAGCCACCACAGCGGCCACCAGGGCAATTGCATGCTCTGCCCCCGCTTCCCTGCCCTGCCTGGACTGTCTTTCCCCATTTCCTCCCCTTGGCAAATTCAGGGGTCCACTTCCAGAGCTTTGTTGACATCTTGCCCAGCAGCTGGTCCCTTTTCCTCTAAGCTCACCTGACAGTTTGTCAAACTTCCTTTGTCATAGATGTACACAGGGGCACTATTACATACTTGGCATTTTTATTTAAATCAATGTTTTGACATTTTTTATTAGGTTTTTAAAGGCAGGGTCTTGATCTGTTACCCAGGCTGGAGGGCAGTGGCAAAATCACAGCTCACTGGAGCCTTGAACTCCTGGACTCAGGTGATCCTCCCACCTCAGCCTCCTGAGTAGCTGGGACCATAGGCACATGCCACCATGCTGGCTAATTTTTTTTTTTGAAGTTTTTGTAGAGACAGGGGTCTCACTATGTTGCTCAGGCTGGTCTTGAACTCCTGGACTCAAGTGAACCTCCTGCCTCAGCCTCCCAAAGTGTTGGGACTACAGGTGTGAACCACTGCACCTGGCCTAAATCAATGTTTTAATTGACTCACATTTTTTATTATGACAAAATACATATAATCTAAAATTTGCCATTTTAACCATGTTTAGGTGTATGATTCAGTGGCACTAAAATTATGCAATCATTACCACGACGCATCTGCAGAACTTTCCCATCACCCCAGACACAAAGTCCGTCCCCACTAAACACTGACTCCCATCCTCCCCTCCCCCAGCCCTGGTACCCTCTGTTCCACCTTCCGTTTCTGTGTTTCTATTCTAGGGACCTCCAATCAGTGGAATCACACACAGTTTGTCTTTCTGTGTCTGGCCTATTTCACTTAGTAGAATGTTTTCAAGGTTCTTCCATGTTGTAGCACGTATCAGAATTCATTTTTTTCATGGCTAACTGATATTCCACCATAGATATATTCTTCATTTTGTTTATTCATCTGTTGATGGACATTCAGATTGGCTCCCTTTTTTTTTTTTTTTTTTTGAGATGGAGTCTCACTCTGTCACCCAGGCTGGAGCGCAGTGGCGCAATATCAGCTCACTGCGAACTCCACCTCCTGGGTTCTAACGGTTCTCCTGCCTCAGCCTCTCGAGTAGCTGGGATTACAGGTGTGCGCCACCAAGCCCAGCTAATTTGTGTATTTTTGGTAGAGACAAGGTTTCGCCAGGCTGGTCTCGAACTCCTGACCTCAAGTGATCCACCTACCTCAGCCAGGCTGGAGTGCAGTGGCACAATCATGGCCCACAGCAGCCTGCAACTCCTGGCTCAAGTGACCTCCCGCCTCGGCCTCCCAAAGTGCTGGGATTACAGGCTTGAGCCACCGCGCCCGGCCTTCTTTTTCTTTTTAAGACAGAGTCTCGCTCCGTCACCCAAGCAGCGTGTCTGCAACCATTGGAGTGACCCTGCCCGTCACCAGGGCTTCACACGCCACTCTGGGTAGCATAGAGGTCCCAGACTACCTACATGTACAGGACAAAGCCAAGTGTCACCCACGGCTGAGGCTCCAGATCTAACAAGTGTCTAGTGCCTTATCCTTGCTGAAAATTACTTGCTGAATGGTTTAGGTCTAGGGGCTTAGAGTCTCCTCTGGCCAGGAGAAGCTAGGGCTGAAGTCCTTCAACACATAGCACAATCCAAGAACTAACGGCCCCACCAACATGTGCCGGGACCGGGGTTGTGCCCAGGGCTGTTGGATCTGGGCTGTATCACCGATGCCTGTGCCTCCCACAGATTCCTTCACACAGGTTCCTTCACCTGGGCCACTTCAGTACACACCAGTCTGATTTCCAACTGCCAGGTCCTGCGTTCCTTTGCCTGTGGGTGCTCT